AAAAAAAAAAAGGTACACAGCAGCTTCCATGCCAGCCTCTTAGAGCTGCATGTTCAGATAGGACCTTCCATTTAGATAGGACTTTTATTTCACTAGTAAATGTTTTTTGTTCTTATCTAAAGACCTAGTCCTGGCTCAGTGTGGGAAATTAGGAAGTGATTATAAACTGAGGAACTAGAATCATCAAAATTAAACATAAGTAGGGTGGCCCCAACACAACTCTCTTTTAGCACCAAGGGCTGTTGACCAGAACCACAGAGAGTCTATATTATAATTAGACGTATGCAAAAAGGACTAATTTATACATGTGAACTTAAATTCTAATTTCAGTTGCACTGTTAAGTCTCTGGCTTTTTGTATACTTTCTTATCACTTACAGTTAGTAATGTATACCTACTCTATCAGAAAAAAACAGGAAGGGCTTCAAATGTAAGCCATTTGAAGGAAATTAGGGAGTCAGTTGAAATTCTATTCTGATCTTATTCTGTGGTGTCTTTTGCAGCCCAGACAAATGTGGGTACACATGTTTTAAGAAATACAATTCTACATTGTCAGGCTCATGAAGGTTCCAATCAGATCTTTATTGTTATTCAATTTGGATCTTTCAGGGATTTTTTTTTTTTTAAATTATTATGGGACAAAGGACATTTGTTGCAGGGGTGAGAGAGAGGAGGAATTTTCAAATGAGCAAAACATTCCCGAGATTGGATCAAGAGGGGGAGGATAGACAGGACTGTGGGGAATGAAATGGGAGCAAGTGACATGCAAACTTGACTCTGGTCAGTGTGACACCCCATGAAGTACATTGCCCGACAAGCCAGAAACATTTTAAAGTCCTGTGGCGATATTTAGATTCTAGACACATCAGTGCTACTCAGAGTCCAGTTCTATGTGCCACAGATACGCCAACATGCTTATTAAACTTTTGCCATCAGTGGTATACATTTCAATCCTTGATATGCCTAATGGCTATTTAAACCAGAAATCTGCAGTTTTAACTAACGGGATGTTTAAAGCAATCTTCTGGTTGGTAGGGACATCTGTTTCTAAATATTTACTATCCACAACACAGAGAGAGGAAGAAAAAACTGTGAAACTGATTTGGATAAGTGATACTACAAGTCCCTTGTCCTTTCCCAAAGAATCGTTCTGTTCCATGTCTGTGCTCAGAGGACAGCTTTGGACAACCATGAAATATGCATCCCTCTGGGCCCAAAGAAAACCAGATGGAGTCTGAGTGGTATTGCACCAATTTATCATGACTAACCCAGAAAAATACAGCCAATAGCCTATTGATGACAAGGTTGTTTTGTGTGCCAAGGTAAGCCCAGCAGACAAAAACATTTGTGGAAGATGGAAAGGCTTCATCAAAAAATCCTGCGAGTGTTACTAAATATGACGAGTGTAGCTCCTTCATAATGCCATATACTTAAACCTTTTGGGGCTCTGCACTGAGCCTTTCTGCTAGCTCATTTCATTAAGTTTTTCCCTCCCGGGTAGCATTTGAAGGAATGATAGCCCATCAAGTTTATTTTGGGGAAGCTTTGGTGGTTGTGTTTATTATACTTTTCTTCATAAGTTTTCAACCAAGTTTTGCTTTTGTTTTGAGTTACTGGGGTCATTTTTGTTTTCAATAAAATAAATGTATAAAAAGTACATTAGTATTGAAAGCTTTTGTTAACAAGATTTTCATACCTTTACCTTGCCGTTATCTAGATTGATAACTTTTTAGGGATGACTGATAATCTGCAATGTTGTACACACAAAACCAGTATATGGTGAGCATACTTTCATAGTTAAGTAAAGCAAGTCTCTAGTTGGCCAGCATTCAATATAATGTGTTGTCAGAAAAAGTCACATTGCCATTAAAACTCTCCTGTCTGTCCAGTTAATATTGTGGAAAAAAATAAAGTACAATGAGAGATACTAGTCGTGCCCTGGAATTGTTTATAATGTGATGACATCATCCTGCCCTAACATTCATTATGGTTAAATAAGACCTTGTCATTAAAAAGCCTTTTTAACAAGCCAGTAAAGCCACCAGGAACTTCAGTCTAATGAAACCGTGGGCAATTTGGCTGGGGGTTGTCTAACAGGTGAAGCGTCCATAGAAGGAGGCCTTTTGTTTCTGGATGCCAACCCTCCAGCCTGAGTTTGATGTCTGAGAGAAACGTTGCCGTTGGGTGTGTTTACCACGCGGCGTACAAAGCCCAATTTCTGTATTCCATGAGGCGAAGGGTTGTATGAAAAGGGAGAGGACAAAAACTGGTGGTTCCGTTTTGAAGTGATCCTTTTTAAGATAACCAAAGCTGACAATTGCTTTAAAGTATCTAAGCCCTAAATAAGTCTCCTGCACTCCCCTGTTGCACTGATTCCCTTAAGCATCAACCCTAAGACATCGACCCTCTTTTAACACTGAAAGAACTTGGATAGTTAACACCCATCTGTTGAGCATCAGCTAGATGCCAATATGGTCTATGTGCCACCGCCAGTTCTTACTACTTTGGAAGGTACCTATGGGTGTCTTCCATTTTGTAGGAGAAAAACTGAGACCCATCAAAGTGAAGGGATTTGCCCTCCAATACCGTAAGTTACCATTTGAACCATGATCTGGCTGAACCCAAGGCCTGTCCTCCTCCCTACAATCAGTGTTCTTATAAAAACACTACCACGGGGAACCCGGGGTCACAGCCTTTCGACCACGTATGGAGTCAGCCTGCTCAGTGTCCATAGTGCTCCTGAGAACATGCCTGAGATTAGATCAACCCTCACCTTCCTAACCCTAACCCTAACCCCAAACCTCACCTTCCACTTTCCCTTTAAGAACCACACGTCACATTCAACAGAAGCATACTTCTCTTGTTTTGGATACTTGCTATAAGGCTCTGTAGTAATTTGCCAGGGCGGCCATGTTGGTAGGGGAACCTACCATGTTCTTTCAAATGAAAAGCTTGAAATCGGCTATGCTGCAAATATTTACACATGGGAATGAGCAAAAGCTACAAAGCAGAGCTTTTAATTTTTTTTATATCCTGCCCCCACCCCTGAGTTCATTTGCATGCACAATCCTATAGATTATTAAAACCTTCAGGTTAATTTTTGATTTTAAATCTTTGGATTATATTATCTATTAGATGCTAGTGACTGAAAAGCAAATCCTTTTGCTAGTCTCATTTTTTTTTTGCTTTCAACAAAGTTGAAAGTATTTTTTTAATGTGATTTCATGCCAGAATTGAGTAACACTACTCATTACTACAACAAAACTCCTTCTATTCCCATGTGATTGTTATGAACTATGCTTCTCAGAGTGTACATCCATAAAAACAAAAAGCAAGAACTGACTTGATGGTAAGCCCTATGTCTTTCTAGTAATAGGTAATTACTATTTATGGATGCATTCCCTTGAGTGGGAAGGAAAATATACTTCTTAACAAAGTATATGTACTTTGAAATATACTTAAGAAATATATTTCCAATAAAATTAAGTTTCTTATTTAATGTACATTTATTAATATGTATATGTGTGTGCATTTTTATCAATAATAATTGTAGTAATTGCTCAACCCAAAAACAAAAAAGTAAAACTTTTTGGTCACAGAATTCATAAATGTAGAAGTGATGAGAAGTTTAAGTTAATCAATTTTTAATTTCCAGTTGTAAGAAATATATTAGGATAGGGCCCTCCCTCATGGCTCAGGGGTTAAAGAGAAGCACTGTGAAGCTATCCACAGCCACTGCATTGCAAGTTCAATCCCAGGTCAGGAGCTGACCCACATGGCCCAGCAGACCTCTCCTGTCTGCCCGCTGCTCCCCTCATCAGTGTATTTCAGTGGATCTGCCTGTTCTGCTCCCCACTCTGTTTCTGGTGAATCCGCTCACTCCCCACATCTCTGGCCTGTACCCCAATTCTTGTGTGCATAAATAAATAAATCTTTTTTTAAAAAACATTAGGATAAAATGAAGGTTAGAAATATGAATTTGAGAGAAAAAAAAGGAACTATCAGATTTTCAGGTGTCAATAATAACTTGTTCCTGTATTTTCATGGAAATGATGTTGAGTATAAAATCACTATAGTATTTAGACTCCACTGTCTATAATTAAAAAGTGATGTAACAAGTTTATCTTAAAGATGTCAGTTGTCAGAATAACTTCTCATTAGTGTGTCAAAATCTTATTTCAAACTGGTCTCAAGGGAAGAGTCTCCATGTCAGCCAGTCTGGGATTCTCTCCCAGAAGAGAAAAAGAGACAGAAAAGAAGTGTCACTGCAGCCGGAGACTGGCTAATAAGGTATGATCAGCGCTGAGCAGGGAAACTAACTTCTCGGGATTTCTTAATCCCATTCAAGTCTCTCTGGAAATGACTCAAGCATTTTATCAGGAGTCACAATGACTTCACAGAAGGGGTTACAATGACATCATGCAAACGTTCTGCCACAGATAATCTTGGGGCCAATTTCTTTGCCACCCTACTATTAACACACTGGAAATTATATGCTTTGTTGCTATTTACACTTAACTGTAAAAAAAATGTCAAATTAAACATGTGCAAAGGGGTTGCATGTCTTCCAGATTCTTTAGTGGCATGTCATCATCAGACCCTGCCCTGTCTCTCTCTCAGCTCCTCTGGTCTTTCCTGGAAGTTCAAAGGCAGGCAGATGGGGACACAGGCTACCTCCGGGGCCACACGGGACATTTTTATGGAAATAAAGCTTTGTGCCAGCACTAGTGAAGCAGCCATTTGGGTAATAATAATTGTGATAGTTACTCAGTCCAAGAACCAAAATAGTAAAACCTCAAGGTCATAAAATTTCATTTAAATGCATAGACTGAACTTTTGTTGTAGAAAAGTACGAGAGAATAAGCAATTTTAAATGTCTGACAAAAAAAACCCTCATACTTGGATTAAATGGGGGGGGGAGGTGTTTAAAAACATGAATTTGAGCAGTAAAAGGAACAATGTAAAATTCTCAAGTATTAAAGTTGTTTGTGTATTTTTCAGGTCGATGGTATGGAGCTATGAACTATGGTAGTGGAGTCCACTGGATACATTCACCAAAAAATGGGACAGATCTGGTTCCCGTGTTTATGGGAGAAGGGGAGAGCAGTGGATTTAGATGGACTGGATGTCCTGGTGGCCTGCTTCCCCGTGCTCCCATAGGGGCACCAGATCTGGCCCAAGCACAGAAGACTTGCCAGGCTGTGCCAATGCCAGCCTCCAGAGACCTTGCCTGGACAGACGTGACTATCTGCCTTGGGGAGGGCACATGTGATGGCTGGTGTTGGGCCTGACAATGAGTGGAAGACAGCATCACTGAGTGAACTAGCCATGGGCTGAAAACAAAGTGAAGGAGGATGAGGCCCTCCCTGGTGGCGCAACAGGTTAGGGCGCAGCACTGCAAGCTGGCCACAGCCGCTTCAGTGCGAGTTCGATCCCCGCCCCGGAGCTGACCCACATGGCGCGGCAGACCTGTCCTGACCCGCCCACTGCTCCCCTCAGCAGTGTACTTCATCCATCTGCTTGTTCTGCTCCCCGCTCTGTCTCTGGGGAATCCTCTCACTGCCGCTGCTCCTCTGGCCTGTACCCCAGTTCTGTAGGCACAAATAGGATGAGACCTGCATTGATTATACTCAGCAATTGCAGTAACCAAAGCATCCCCAACTTTGAACCAGGTCTCCAAGTTTCGATTCCCCTGGGACAACTGGAAGAGGACAAGATGACAGCTGTACACAGATGGGTTGTGGTACAGGAGAGAGCAAGTCTAGGTTAAGGGAGCTCAGGTCTTTTAGAAGGAGCAGGGAGCATGGTTGCACTTTGCTCAGGAGGAGGATACGCTGTGTCTGGGAAGGAAACAAATCTGTGTTTCTCTAAAGGGAGACATTATCTCTGCTTTCCAAGGCTGTTCTCTACACAAACATCCTTGGAAAGATAGTCTGGAACAAAAAGCAATGAGGGCCTTGATGCAACATGAGCAGAAACTTGAGACCCATTGCAAATTGTCTCCCAGCAGCAACACAGAACAAGTCGATCCCCGATGCCTGTCAGGCTCCCAAACGCACAGACAGCAAAATGTAAGCTGCTCCTGGAAACCAAAAGCTTTAGCGACAGTTCTCAGCCCTACATGGTTCCAGCTGCCCCAGTGGGAAACATCTCTTTGGAAGGGTCGCGCCAAATGTGATGGTCGGTCCCTAGCGAAGAGCGGAGCTGAAGCCTCTGATCATCAGAAATAACCCAGAGCCTCTCCTTTCAGCTACCTGCTGCCCTGGACAACTGGACACTTGCTGTCATCTGGACATATTGACCAAATGTGTTTTTTCTTTCTTCTCTGTGGTACTAACATTTCCCCAGCATCCCAGGTTAACCCCCTGGGGCACTCAGCGCTCTGGGGATGGGTTGATGAATGGGTCCAGTCATCCAACAAACAGATGCTGATCTCCAAGGACAGGTGTGGAGCTGGGCTGTAAGCTTTAGGAATTCTTGTGACCCCCGTCGTTAGCCTCAGCAACACCATTCTAGTAGCTCGCCTGCCTGCTTGTTGACAATATAGAGTGTATTTAGCGGGCTCCTTGCTTTCTGCAATCATCTCTAGCATCAGCTAGCAGTCACCTGCTGTTTGCATTACTAAATACCATCTTTCAAAATGGATTGTGTAGGCGCAGATACTCACAGACAAACCATAAACATTTCTCTCACTAACCAAAACCTTGAGCCTTTCTGTTTGAAACAACAGGCTCAGATACTGCGTAGCTACGGCTTTTTTCAGAATTCTTCGCTTTTCCAAAATGTGGAGCGTATTTTACCTCAGAGCACTGCAGGCCAGTGGAGCAGAGACTGCAAAGACTGAGTCAGACTTAGCAGCGAGTCGACCCAGGGCAGCTTTGATCTTCCCTCCCAAGGGGAACATCATCTCCTATGTCCATGTGGAACTCCTCAGTTAGGGAACAAAAGAAAGAGAAGAAGAAATAAAATATTTATAGGAAAATTATTTCTCACAAGCAAGCATTTGTTCTAAAAGCTTTTAGAAATGTAATTATTTTTCTCCTTCTTGGGCTTTTCTGTTTTTAATATGAAACACTTTCAAGTCCCCTGGTTCAATTTCCAGGAAGCAATAATCCATTTTGCCTTGGGTGGAGTTTAGGAAAGAAACTAGGTTTCTGAAGTGAAAATGTTTCCATTGAAATTGCCACATGGAACTCTTGATGCTTCTTTAAAGCTCTTGCATAAGAAGGGCCCCATTCCCAAGGGCAGGGTGGGCCAGCTTTTCCTTGGCCTCTGCTATGGCCTCTCGGTGCCATTTCAGACTCAGCTGGACCCCTGGAGTCACGACTCTCACCTCCCCGTGCCTGTCAGCCAAAGGGGAAACCTCGGGACCACTGGAAGTCAATTATGAGACACATTGTGACTTGCATGTGTCATTTTTCACTTCCCAGCAGTGCATTTAAAATCAAAAACAATACATGGAATAACTTTTAATTATATATTGAACTTTATAGATCAGGCCAACATATAATCAATATAAAAATGACTGAGTAGTGGGCCCTCCCTGGTGGCGCAGCGGGTTAAAGCACAGCACTGAGAAGTTAAAGCCACTGCAGCATGTGTTCGATTCCCGCCTGCCCCGGAGTTGCCCACATGGCACGGCAGACCTCTCCTGGCCCGCCCGCTGCTCCCCTCAGCAGTGTACTTTGTCGATCTGCCTGTTCTGTTCCCCACTCTGTCTCTGGTGAAGCCTCTCACCACCCCTGAGCCTCTGGCCTGCACCCCAGTTCTGTATGCATGGATAAATAAATCTTTAAAAAAAAAAAATGACTGAGTAGTTACTATTCTCTTTCCATGCGATGTGTTTGAAATGGGTGTGACATCGACAGCTGTAGCACTTCTCAGTTAGAAGGAGCCACATCTTGGACCTCCCTGGTAGCGTTAAGATGCAACACTGCAAGTGAACCACAGCCGCTTCAGTGCGAGTTTGATCCCCAGGCCCCCAGGGTGACCCACAGGGCGCTGCAGACCTCTCCTGACCCACCCCCTTACTCTCAGCAGTGTACTTCATCCATCGGCCTGTTCTGCCCCCCACTCTGTCTCTGGTGAATCCTCTCACCGCCCCTGCACCTAGGGCCTTTACTCCAGTTCTGTATGCATGAATAAATCAATCTTTTAAAAAAAAAATAGAAGGAGTCACATCTCAAGTGCTCAGGAGCCACATGTAGTCAGTGGGCACTGTGCTGGACAGAGCAACTGTGGATTCTGCATGTGTATATTTACAGTCATGCACAATGTCTGCAAAATGCCTTCCTCTGCCTGGCCCCACTCTCCACTTACTAATTAAGCTGATAAGGCAGGAGGAAAGCATCTTTCCGACTCCCTTAATTCTTTTCCAAGCTGGGGCCTCCCTGGTGGCCTAGGGGTTAAGTCTCAGCACTATCTCATTTCTACAGCCTGAGTTCGATCCCCGGCCAGGGAGGTGACCCACATATGGTGTAGCAGACCCCTCCTGTCTCTCCTGCTGCTCCTTTCAGCAGTGAATTTCAGTTATACTGAAATACAGGATTCACTGCGGTGAATCCTCTCACCCCTGTGCTTCTGGCCTGCACTCCAGTTCTTCTATACCAAAAAAAATTTTCCCAAACTTCCCCAAAAGAGATCTTATGTTTGAAACATCTGCTGTCACATCAAACAGTAAACCTGGTCTGGCTTGTGTCCCATAAAAGCATTGCAAACCTGAAAGCAAGCGTTTAACTCCTGATTACAGAAGACCTGGGTTTGAATGCAAACTTGCTGAAAGTCTGAGCTTGGGAAATTTTCTGCCTCTTTGAGTCTCAGGTTTCTCAACAGCTCAATGGGGTGTAGAATTTGCCTACCACGTCCTGTCCGCCGCATGGGTCAGTGACAGAGATCAAAATAGTTCACGTAAAAGGGCTGTGCCCTATAAAATGGAAAACAACATGATTTATTATTCCCAACCATTAAAATCTTGGCAGCAATAGAAAATAATAAAGCCATAATATCTACAGAGAAAGGATTTAAATTAAAAAATCAAATCAAAGAAGCAAATTCCTGTAATGACGCACAATGTCAACAATTTTCCTAATCATTACCAAGTCCTAACCGTTCGCTTTTATTTGCAGAGAGCAAGACCATACAGAGGAATGATAAATTACTCCCAGGATAATAATCAGTTATGGTCCTTGGAGCCAGGAGCGTGTCATGAGAACCCACCTTGATGATACCTAGCTAGAAACCTGGGAACCATCTTGACAATGACACTGTCGAGAACATAGTGCGCATGGACCTTATTTTCAAAGACCAATAATCTGAGAGGTCTGCAGAGAGGGTCCACAGCATCTATGTCCCATCACCACCTAGATAATTCCTTGCTCTGATAGCTTCTAGATAGTACCATTACCTTCTAACATTCCCTATGACACCACTTAAAACTTACCTTCTTATTGTTTCCTTTAAAAGGAGACCGGCATGCAAAGGACTAGGGAAATAACATTGTCTTCATGTCTAAATCATTCTGTCCCAAGTGTTACTTAAAAAACAAAATTACCATTTTGGATTTCCACCCAGAGTACCAACACTTATTCAAGTTCAAAAAGAACTTAGTTGCTGGTTCATCACACTCATCTCCTAGATCTGCGAGGCCATGGATAGGCCACAAAGACAGAAGCCAGAGAGCTTGGGCTTTGGGAGGCCACAACGGAGGACACTCTGGTCCAGTCTCACAACACCAAATTTGCCCGAGTCCAGGAGCAGGCTCTCACCCCAAAATCCACACTCACCACCTGTGTGGTATGTGCAAATAAAACCAATCAAATGAGAACACACCAAGACTATTTATTTAGAGTTTGCTCATATAGAAAGGGGACCAGCCACCATCACTGTGCATGGCAGAAATTCAAAGGCAGGCAAAGGGAAAGTTTTACAGTGGATAAAAGGGAAGGTTTCAGTTGGGGGTGAGGGGCAGTTGGCTGAGAAATAGTCAGGTTGTAATTTTTTAATTCAAGAATAGGAATCATAACCCAGGTCCACAGTCAAAGGGTGGGGTCAAGGTGCACTCCACTGGAGTCAGAGCACAGCGGGACCTTAAATGGTCAGGCAGGGAAGTGGACACAAGCTTATGTCATTTGCTGTGAAACTTTTAGTTACGTTCCCAAGTTCATTTATCTGCCAATGATTGGTTGGCAAGCACCTTCACATGGGAAAAGGATGCTGTGTGGGGTGTGCTGGAAAGTAGCAGGCGGGTGCTTCATGGCACCAACGGCCACCTCAGCGACTCACCTAGAGGTCCCAGGATGGCTGTTAAAGACAAGATGGCATCTGTCTGATTCAAAGCAGATTCCACAGGGATCTTAGCATGGGGAAGCTATGGGTGGGCAACTAGAA